TGTGTGTGTGTGTGAGAGAGAGAGAGAGAGAGAGAGAGAGAGAGAGAGCTAGAGAAAGAGAGAAAAGGGTTTATGAATGTTCTTTGTACTACTTTTTATTCTTACACATTTCTGTAAGTTTGAAACTATATCCAAATAAAAAGTTTAAAATGAAGCTTCCGTTCTAGTGAGAGGGACAGACAATAAATAGTTAAATAACTAAAATGTACATTAGAGAGTGAAATATTCTCAGGGGAAAAATAAATTCAGGGAAGAATTGTTGGGGTAGGGTTTGCACTTTAGGTGGGGTGGCCCAGGGAAAGCCCGACAGAGGAGGTGACTACTGAGGGAAGACCTAAAGGAGGTGAGAGTGAGCCGTGTGCGTATCCAGAGGAAGAACAGTCCAAGCAGAGGGTGCAACTAGTGCAGAAGGCAGAAGCATGGTGGGCTTGTCTCCCATGACTTCCCTAGTTTTCCTCTTGTTCTCCCTAAATGCACATGCACACACACACACACACACACACACACACATTACTCTCTATCATAGACTCCTGTTGAGTTCCCTCAAAGCACTGTTAACAGTCTGTCATGATTCTGTTTGATTGACTGTACCCCACCCCGAGCCCCCAGCCTGTGAGTGCGGTGGCAATGGCTGTGTTCACCGCTGTTCTTCAGTGCCTAGTACAGTGCTGGGCTCATGGTAGGTGCTCCATAAGTATGTCTTAGATGCACAAGACTTCTGGTGCCACCCTTCTCTGGGGACCCTTCCCCTTCCACCCCTAGCCATAGTGACACTGGGTAAGAAGTGCTGTCTCGCTCTTTGTAAGGCTGAAGGCCATTTCCCAGGAGGCTGCACCCTGGGATCCAAGGCCCTGAAGCCTGCGCTGAGGACATGAGCTGGCAGGTGGCCCGTTTCAGCCCAGCTGGGTCTGTCATCCTGGAGGTGTGAGACCGGGTACACAAGGCTTTGAATTAGTGGAGGTTTGGGGTGTTTGCTTGTTTGTCTCACCCAGATAGGATTTCTTTCTCTTCCCCAGGTTACCAACTGGAGTATTCAGAGCCTGGGCCTGTCTCTCTACGCAGACTGCCTGGCTGGCACGTACAGCGGGGGCAATAAGCGCAAACTCTCCACAGCCATGGCACTTATCGGCCACCCGCCACTGGTGTTGTTGGTGAGGGCACCGCGGGCCCCAGAGCACAAACTGAGGGCTGCATCTCTTGGGTTGGGGAAACACGTTCTGCGTCAGCAGAGTTAGAACATGCAGCACTTTGTTTTTTTCTGGACTGTTCCCTATATTGCTCATCTTGAGCAAATCAGACTACTGTTTGGTTTAGAGCTCTATGGGGAAAACGAGTCAGTGCACAGTCTCACTGTGAGGTCCTGGGAAGTCTCTTGTGGGGCCACAGGCTCACACTCGGGAAGTTCAGCCCACTCTGTGGAAGGTGGGTGTCTGGTCAGAAATGACTACTGCCCCAGGAGGTCTGTCTGGGACCCGAAGTGGACAGGAACATTGACCTGGATCAAAGGATCACCTGACTCTCACCTGAGCCAGACAAGGCCCTAGGCCCCAGGGCCACATAATCTGAGGATTATGAGTGCATGCATCACAGGACATGGAGGGAACCAGAAAAGTCATCTGGAATAGCTCCCTTCCTCCTTACAAACATATTTGTAGTTTTTTTAAAGGATAATTCTACCATTGCCCCAGTCAACCTTAGTCCACTCATAGCGTGAAATGGGCCTGGAAGTGCGTATGGTGTTCTTCACTCTCTCATTCACCCCCTGCCCTCTGTGTCCTGCACCTGGGTACCCCGAGTCTCACCCAACTGGGGAGTGTCTGTCTCCTCAGAGATCAGAGCTGGTCAGAGAGAGCCAACCCAGGGAGGACACAGTGACCAGGAGAACCCAGCTCCAAGCCCATGCACTCTGTCCTCTCTCCCACCCCACAGGATGAGCCCACCACGGGGATGGACCCCCAGGCACGCCGCATGCTGTGGAACATCATTGTGGGCATCATCAGAGAAGGGAGAGCCGTGGTCCTCACATCCCACAGGCAAGAGATCCCCAGGGGCTGGGGGATGGGGGGTGGGGTCCTCCCCGCCTCACCTCCTCTCTCCTGCACCACAGCATGGAAGAATGTGAGGCACTGTGTACCCGGCTGGCCATCATGGTGAAGGGCACCTTCCAGTGTCTGGGCACCATTCAGCACCTCAAGTCCAAGTAAGCAGACAGTGGGGATTCGCCCTTGGTTAGTTTTCATGGGGTTCAACCAGGCCCTGTGTTCTTTATTGACAATTGGGAGGGTCCTGCCACCCCCTCATCCCAGGGGCCCTGTTCTCCAGCAGTGGATGGAGAAAGCCATCGTGCTGAGAAGCTCCTCTGTACTGGGCTAATTGCCTGTGGTGTAGGCTCGCAAGGGTCTCTGGATGGAGGTTTTGGATTGGGATGGATGCAGAGCCCGGCTGGGATGAAGGAGGACCAGTGTCACTGCCTCCACATCCCACCACTCATCCGAGGGATCCAGGACCCATGGCCTATTTAGTGAGTCCACAACCAACGTAGGAATGGTTAGGAGACCAAACAGCTTGAGAGCCAGTTTTCTTCTCCTGTATACTTTTGGGTTTGAAAAATGACTGTGTTCTATGACAAACCAACAATGCCAGTAATCTTAAGTAGGATTATTCTGTACCCATAATTGTAAACTGTTGTAAATAATTCCTTATTATCAATAGTTTGTGTTCCAAAGCTAACAATCAGAATAAGATTATCATAATGTCTCCATGCTTCCTTGCATTCTTATATACTTTATAAGCTAGGAAAGAACAGATTTATAGTTATAGCTTATTTATTTGCAAACAGTATTGAGAGCCCAGAATATAAAGGTCACTGAGTCAGTTGGTGAAAGGAACAGCACATGCCCACCTTATCTATGCCGAGGTGCTTGATGTACCCATGGGAGCATGTTGCACAGAAAACACTATTCTCCATGTGCATCAGGGCAGATAAATGATTGAGAAAGGTCTAGTAGATTAGCTGCATTTGGCAAACGGGTATTTGATCCATGGTTTCTTGAGCAACTACAGCTTGGACACTGCCAGATATCTACAGGGACATCAGCATGTGAGGTCACCAGACCTGTGTCAGCAATGTCTGTGTCCAGCTGCTGGAGAAATGGATATTCCCTTACTCCTTTCCTTGTTAGCAGAGTGTTCCCCATGTGGAGGGACAGTCAATTTTCTGTAGCTGAGAGGTGAAAAGGCATCTTATTGTAGAAGAGAGCAGCCCTAGATCACAGAGGAAGCTTTGCAGTAGGTTATGACTGACACAGTATACCTGATGTAACCATGTACGGATGCCCACTGGTCATGCGCACACTCTGGTGGGCCATCCCTCGTCCACGTGAGGGTGACCAGCACGCCGGGTGAGGGGAGGAGGGAAGCACCAATAGCTCTGGCCATAGCAGCTCCATTTGCTTCTGGAAGCTTCCATAGGGAAGCGCTGCCTTCCCAAGGCTTCACTTCCACCTGGCCAGTGTCATGAAGGGCCTTTCAGCCTTTACCACCACTCGCCTTTATGGGTGGTCCACATGGGGAGCTCCACATGGGGCTAACACCACCTTCAACTTCAGCAAGTACATCCATCCCACTTTAATGCACAGACATTCTGACCTTTAAAAACTGGTGTCAAACAATTTCTCCAAGGACTATCGTGGTTTTTTCCTCCTAGTTTTAAACATGAACACAAGGTCAGTGGTATGAGCCTTTAATCCCCAGTATTTCTGATGCGTCTGCTCCTTATTTTGGGTTTGCCTTAGACCCGACCACTAACAGAGGCCTGCACCACACTGTGTGCAACCCTAGGTTTGGAGATGGCTATGTTGTCACAATGAAAATCAGGTCCCCGAAGGACGACCTGCTTCCTGACCTGAATCCCGTGGAGCAGTTCTTCCAGGGGAACTTCCCAGGCAGTGTGCAGAGGGAGCGGCACTACAACATGCTGCAGTTCCAGGTCTCCTCCTCCTCCCTGGCCAGGATCTTCCAGCTGCTCATCTCCCACAAGGACAGCCTGCTCATCGAGGAGTACTCGGTCACGCAGACCACTCTGGACCAGGCAAGTCGGCCCAGGGGCATCGAGAGCAGCATGGGCCAGGCGAGGACTGGGCGGAACGGACACAAAAGGGAGGCATGACATTCCCAATTTTTAACACACTCTTGTCCCTCAGGGTAAAACCTGGTGTATCAGAAATCGTTTTCTAATAACATTTTCATCATCAGCAAACTTCACTGATTTTTTTTTTTTTACATCATCCTTTCCCACTTTGCTATGACATGTCATTTTATTCTTGCTTGTGGTGGTGGCTTTTTTTTCTTTTCAAATCAGCTTTATCAAAGTATACTTTGCATACAATAAAACACACCCGTTTTAAAGGTACAGTTCAGTGAGTTTTGATAAACCTGTGCTCCATGTGTGGGTTTTTTAAAAATGCAGTCACTTTTTTATTGTGGTAAGATATGTATAACATAAAATTGGCCTTTTCAACCAATTTTTTTTTTTTCCCCTTTTTGTCTTTTTTCGTGACCGGCAACGGATCACAACCCTCAGTGTCGCGCCCGTACCGG